TGCTGGACCTCGATCCCAGCCTGCTGACCAGGAGAGACTTTGTGACGGGCTTCACCGCTCTCCACTGGCTTGCCAAGCATGGCCACCATGAGAACTTCATTCAGGTCATTTCCCACGCCCAGAAGAAGGGCTATCCCTTCAATGTGAACCTCCCCACGGCCAGCGGCGGGCTCACCCCCTTGCATGTGGCCGCTCTGCAGGGACACGAGCTGCTCATCAAAGTGCTGGTGGGAGCTTACGGGGCGGACACCAGCCGCAGGGACCACAACGGGCGCAAGGCTTGGCAGTACCTGAGGGCAGACACCTCCAGGGAGCTGAAGGAGCTGGCGGGGGCCTCGGAGGAGGACTTGGTCCAGCTGCGCTCTCACAACACCAACAACAACTGTAAGTCATCCAGAGAGGCCAGGGCAGGGCGGGACTGCGTGGACTCCAGGGCCGAGGGGAAGCGCTCCTGGAGCCTGTCGACCCTCCGGGACTTTGTCAGACAGGCGTTCACTTTCTTCCAAGAGCAATGAGGCTCCCCTGGCCCATTCACCTGCAAACCCACGCTGAATAGCAGCCGGACGAGCCTGCAGGGAGCTGGGAACTTGGCAAGGGCCGGTGCTTGAAATCCTGGCCGAGCAGGGATTAACCCCCTGCACAGGGGCACCGCAGCTGCCCCAGGTCTCGCCTGGTCTTTTGGGGCTATGCCCGTGTGAGTGTGTGTGGGGCAACCACGGCCATTGGGAGCACCATCCGGGGACAGCCCTTCCAAAAACCCGCCCATTCCCAGTGGGGGTTTTGCCCCCATCCCTGCTAATGGTGACTCCTTGCTGCAGCCTGGCAGAGCCCCATGGCGGGGGCTCATGCACCGGCTCAGCTGCGGGGAGCTGCTTCTCCAACACCCCGCACGCCCACGGGGGGATGCTGACCCACCGCAGGAGGTGGTGTCCTGTGCGGGAGGCTGGGGTGGACGTTTGGGCTGCCCATCCCAGGCTGCCGGCAGATTTTGGGTGTGATCGTTAAGTCGCAGCAACTTGGTGACTTGGTTCTCCCACCTGTAAAACGAGGCTGTCGGCACTGCCCCAGCTCCCAGCAACGCTGCGAGATTGGACTGGTCATGGTGCCATGGGTGCCTGGACAGGGACACTGGCAGAATATAATTAAATATTTCAGAGTCATACTCTGCGATGCCAGAGGCCTGGCATTGGGCTGACGACGGAGCTGCAACTATGGCTTCAGAAACAACCCTCCCCCCCAGTGCTTTTTTTTGTACGCTTCTCTGCCGGCAGGGAGAGCGGGTACAGAGAAGCAGACCGTGCCACCGAGCTGCAAACACTTTCCAGCTCCCTGTGAGATCCCCGGGTCTCCACCACATGCACCTCCTCTGGGTTGCTGTTTCTTTATGACAGATAAAGGTGTTTCTCACTAAAGTAAGAGCTGGAGTGCCTGTTTTGCCAAAGGAGGCCGGGCCCAGAGAAGCCTTTCAAAGTGCAGGACGAGTCGCCCTGACAGCCCTTCCCTGGGGATGCTCAGCCCCACTGGGGATGGGGGCCGGAGCGAGGAGGCAGGAGGGACACCCAGTGGGGTTGCATGCGGTGGCTCCTGCAGGGACTGGAGTCCAGGAGCAGCTCTGGAAAGATGATTCATTACTGAAAACCATGGAAAAGGTATGAAGGCTGTGAGATTATCTTTGTGGCTACTGAGGTCATGCTCAAAAATGAAACTCTTGAGAAACATCCCAACAGCAGCATAACGCCGCGTGTATGTACCGGTAACTGCATTAAATGGGCAAAGCCTCTGCTCGCCTGTTTGTGTTTTATTCACCAAGGGGAGCTCTGCCCAGCTGATTTCAACTTGCTTTTCACATCCTTGAAGGCCAGGGCTGCTTCAAAATATCTTCAGAAAAACAACTGCCCCTTCCTCTTTTTCATCAGCATGAGACCATTTCTACTCCCTTACATAGCAGTCCCGTTTGAGAAGTGACTCTCAGAAAGAAACTGAGGAGTTTCTGTTCCCCATCGCGGAGCAGCAGCCCTTGCGGAGATACCTCGCTTCGGAGGGGAGTCATGGTTTCTTTCCAGCTGCCTTTCTGGGGGTCTGCAGAGGTGACCGAGGGGCTTAAGATGATCTGTGGCCTGGCTGCATGCGTGAATTTGCACCTTGATGCAGAAAGATACACGGGTGACTCCCTTGGGGGAACTTCAGCCTGTGGACTTCACAGACCCTGAGCAAATCCCATTTATCTTCAGATTGTGCGCTGAAATGTTGCTTGGACGCTGGAATAACCTGGTCTGCAGTGGGCAACACGTGGAAGAACATCCTCCAGAGGAGTAGATAGTGATCCAGTGACTGGAGAGTACCCAGTCCAGGTGCCTGGGTGGACACATAGATGTGTCTGGACATCTTTTTAATCACTGAGGTCAGCAGTGGAGACATGCAAAACACACTGGGAATGGATTTAATGCCTGATCTACACTGGTTCCGTAATGCTTTAACTCTAATAGATTAAAGACTATGGCAACATAGCTCCTTCCAGAACTTCTCTGGATGAGGCTTTGGGCAAGTGGTCTAGTGGAGGGTGTCCCTGCCCACAGCAGGGGGGGTTGGAACTGGATGATCTTTAAGGTCCCTTCCAACCCAAACCATTCTATGATTCTATGATTCTCTGGCCACAGCAGGCTGGCTTCTCACGAGTGTGGTCACACCAGCACAAGCTCCGTGAAACGCACTGATGTGAAAACACCCCCGATCTTTTGTTCTGGTAACCAAAGTGCTGTTGATTACACAGGTGGGTGCATATCTGACCAAATATTTTTTGACCTGTTAGTCCTCCATCACCCTTTCGCAGCAGCGTGCTGTTGGGGAGAGCGCATGGGACCACTCCTACATCCTCCTCTGAGTAAGGCACAGAGTAAACAGTGGATTAATGAGAATTTCCTTGAATGAGCTGATTCCTTGGCATTTGTACCTGCAGTTTAGTCACACTCCACCAGAAAACCTGGACTTCAATGTTCCATTCAAAAGTAAAACTGGCAAATGCTACACTTAAATATGACTAAATGATTTTTAGTACTTGTGTCCTTGACGCCTTGGGTTTTGGTTAGCCTTGACTTGACGGCTAACCAAAACCCTCTAAAGGCAGCTTTTTCCCCCATCTTTTGGTCACAGATTTGAAGCTGTATTCTGCTCAGAGGCAAATTAGGCAGGTGGCTCAGAAAGAGCAAGACCAGAGCCCTGCTTCTGGGTGGTGTTACAACATACTCATCAACGCCACCCCCTGCCTTGCCTGCCCTGCAAGGGTTCCTCTCCGCAGAGCAAAACAAGCATCTTCTTCAAATGGCAGCACCCGCTCTGCTGCTGAACGTTGTGTTTGCCCCAAACACCACGCTACTTCCAGTGACTCACCCCTCTGCCTCGTGAGGTTTATTTTCATACTTGCAGAGGGGCAGTCGGTTTGGAAATACAGACACATTTAAAAAATACTCCTCAAGTATACAATCCGCTCTAACTTTGCTTCTCACTCAGAAAACAAAAGCATATCCACCAAAATTAATGGACTAGAATATCCAAACTATTTAGATTTTTTTCTTTAAAGCTTCTGTTGATGTCTCACTTACCGTGTTCTAGCCCAGTTCTGCAGAAATCCCTGATCCCTCCTGCAACTCTCGCAGGGAAGGCAAGGGCAAAGAGAGCTGCCACAGGAGCAACAGAAATCATTCAAACCCTGAGGTATTTGTGTTGGTTAAGGTTCTGCAGAAGATTGATTTTAACCCAATTTTAATTTGTACTAAATTTACTTCGTGCTAACCCTTAATTCCAATTTGAAAAGCAGATTCAGTCAAATGGGGAAAAATAATACGAGGGGTTATTTTCCAAAGCAGTTCCTTGGTAGAAGCTGCTTCCATCTGTGTGGATGCCCCATCCCTGGAAGTGTTCCAGGCCAGACTGGATGGGGCTTCAGGCAACCTGGGCTAGTGGAGGGTGTCCCTGCCCATGGCAGGGGGGTTGGAACTAGATGGGCTTTGCGGTCCCTTCCAACCCAAACCATTCTGTGATTCTAAGAATCAACATAGCACGGTAATGATAGTAATAGGGAGACTACCTAATAAATAGTAACAAATAGTTCAATCTATTGGTCAGGAAAACTTTCCCACAAATGCCATGGAGAAAACTGTCTCTCTCAAGTCCCTAAAATTACTTTTTTCCTTCTCAGCCAGGTCCTCAGGGACACAATTACAGAGGAACTCTGCGAGCAGCTTTGCCCGCCAGCAGTGGTGACGGGGAGAGGCAGGGGACAGTTCGCAGGTCTCCAAGGCTGATCTTTGATCCACAGCAGCGCTGTTATTTCCTAAATACTCGCTTCAAAGAGCACAGAAGAGATTTAAAAAACATCGGGGTAAAAGTGTTTGCAGCACACGGGCCTCTGTCAAAACATCTTTGGCAATGCTGTCTGCTGCTTTCCCGTTGCAGTGACTTATTGCTTCCCCCTGATAACAAAGAGAAACTAGACTTTTACCAGACAGAAAAAGAAGCTGGAAGATATCTATGAAGTGTCCTGAAGTTGGTAAAAATCCCAGCCTTGCTCTCCTGCGCTTATAGAAACCTCCAGCACACCTTAGGAGGGAGATACTGTCATGAGCTCTGAGCCAGGCGTGTATTTGTTGTGCATTTACGTGTGCTTGGCATATGCTGCTGCCCAGCATTATTTGCTATGAATTTTAACACGAAGGAGATAAACCTATTTACCTTCAACATAAAAACCAGCAACACAGAAGGTGTGGCAGCCTGAAGCTTCCTCAGGAAGCTGCCACCCAGGAACTGAGCCACCACAGCAGGCTGAACCCAGAAAACAGCACCTCCGCAGCCCTCAACGTCAGGATGGGCTTTGCCGCAGCCACATCCGAGAACAGGCTCGCACGTTCAGTCATTTCCAGCTGACAGGAGCGTCTATCCCAGGTCTGCAGTGCAGAAGGGAAGGAGCAGCAGCCATGCAGGACCCAGTGCCGAGCCTCCTCCTCCACTTCCCTGCGGTCAATAGGTGGTTTCACAGGCTGAGTGGAGAATGCTGGCATTGGGGAGCTGGAGTGCCAGAGTGCTAACTACTCTGAGTGGTTTAATCCCTTCTTTCCTCTCTCCCCTTTTTAAAATAGCTGCTAACTCTTCCTTTGAGCAACATTTTGAGTTACTATCCTTCTACTGAGAATGTTGTACCTTAAGCTGCACCTGTGGCTGGCATCAAGACCAACTCAATCAAGCCAACACAGCGCTCCAAACAAAACTCAGAAGGTGGTTATTACATATCGTAGGGAACACGCAAACATCACATACTACTGCAAGAGTATTGCATTTTGTAAGAGAGAAATCTATCCAGTGCCCTTGCTGTATTCTTCCCTTTCCTCCTCCTTCTTAGTGAAACTTTCTTTCATCCGATTACTCCACTGCACCCGCCCACCAGCCAGGATCTTAACCCCAGGCTCCGAGGGCTGCCCTGCCCGAGAGCAGCCCCGGTGCTGCTGGCACAAGGGCCAAGCCG